TTCTGCCCAACACTTTCAGAGAAATTACCTGTAGTGAAGATGACTAATAGTAAGAAAAAAAAGACCACAGCCTTCCAGTAAGAGTCAGGAAAACCCTCAGCCAATAGTTGTTGCAGAGATAATTGTTCTGAATCTATCAATAACACTAAGCTGCCCCTTCATTGACTGCAAACAGCAATTTCTTTCATCCTGGATTATAAGTTGGTGTTCGCAGGCTTGCAGCCGCCATTACAGTGATAAACAGTAGAAACCACAACAGGATCTGACATGTAGATCAATTCTGGGCCCATAAAGAATCTACACAAGAGGCTCCAGGACAGGAATTTACAGTCACCAGTTTTTATCCTTGCCTGCTGCAGAAATTACTTCTGTCAAACACTTAGGAGAGTGAGGAAAAATGTAGAAAAATTAATTTTTCATGTACTACTGGAACAGCCTTCTTCAACGCAGAAGCTCAAGATGAGGATGCTCTGCATTTAAAAAATTACTCAGAGCAGCGTGTGGTACTTAGTGGAAGAAGGATCCAATCCCCGGCATTGCTCACAAGCCAGCAGACAGCAATTTGAAACCCTGAACGGAGCTGTCTGGATTTCCTCTGAGGGCAGATGCGGGGCTCATGTTAGCAACGCCAAATTATATTAGACGTTTAATTTTAAACCTCAGGTACTTAGATGTAAAACCCTACACTGGTAATGGTCATAAAGCAGTAGGGCATTCCGTCTCACAGAATGGAGCCCTCTTGCCTTCTCCTCTTAATTTAGTCAGAGCCTCCTGCTTCCTGATTTTATCCACTACAAAGTCATCTATCTAATTAGGAGCTGCTCACAGCTGCTTAGAGGCAGAAGCCCCAGGGGTACCTGTGTGTCAAAGGGGAAGGATTGAAAAGTTCTCTGGAGCTGAAGCCTTAATATAGGGTGGACGAGAGGGCAGAGAAAAACAGAACCATAATGCCGCCGTTACTACATCCTACAGTAAGACGGGGCGACAAGGCAGGTCCTTCCCTGGTTCTAGGCAGCTAAGTTCCAAAGCTGCTGGACCCTCCCCACTCCTGCTGGTGTCCTGTACAACTGCCTGCCACCGTAACATCCAGACCAGAGGTAGGTGGATGGGAGTGGGGTCAGGTGGCAGATAAAGCGATCACAATCAGAAGGGGGCAGAGCTCGGCATCAACTGCTAACGAAAAACAAACAGGACAGAAAGGCCTCACTCATGCTTGGTTCCTGGTTATATTAGTACAGCAGGAGGATGTTTGTGAGATTTGAGGTCTTGTAATGCACACATTTTACTAGAGTGCCCCACTGGATCCTGTGCTCTGGTGTTCCTTAAAAATGGTGGGGGTCTGGCCCCTGATAAACTGGGGCACAAAAGGTGAGATGCAGACGGTGTTTAGGAACAGCCTGGGCTCCCAAATTTCTAGCCAGCTCCCAGAAGCTGTCAGATAGATGCCCCTTGGTCTGGGTACTACACTTTGTGAAGGAGGGACCTACACCAGCGGCTCTTAGACATCAGTCTACAACACTGTTCCAAGAACAGCTTGCTGGGTCATGCGCAGCTAAAGCTTGGGGGACTAAGAGATTGCATTACTAAGTTTGTCCCAGGTGCTGCTGCTGCAGTAGCTGGGCCCAGAAATACCAGTGGAGAGCCAAAAGCTGAGGACCATTGAACCAAAGTCCACATGGTGTATAGGGAGCCGGGACTTTGGAGCGGCTGCTGTGTGGGGCTGGCTAAGCGTTGGTCATGGCAGTTCATGAGCCCTACCGCAGTCTTTAAAGACAAGAGAACTAGTCACGCCCAGAAAAGAGGCAACCTAGATACACATGTGTACCCTCTGGGAATGGAGTGCCTGATGCCAGGGGACAGTGTACACAGAGCAGCTCTCCCTCTGATCAGCACAAACCAAATCCCCAGATGCACCATGGAGATATACTCCTGATACTGAAAAGACTCCACGGAGGGCAAAACATCACCTCAGTGACTTCACAGCCTGATAAGTACCCTCGTGGACCAGCACATGAAGCCTTTGAAATAGTGGTATTTATTGGTATTGTTTACTTCCTTAAAATAAAAGAGAAAAAACCACATTGGGAATGATACGCCTTGGAACATACAGGTAGGAAAAAATCCCTGAAAGATGCAGGAACTGTATTTCCATGCACTGTTCTGTCACCTGCAGGCCTTTGCTCTTTAAAGTATCTTAACTAGGACCAGATGTGGTGTCACATGCCTTTAATCCCAGTTGGAGGCAGATCTGAGTTTGAGGTTAGCCTGGTTTACATGAGTTCCAGGCCAGCCAGGGCTACATAGTGAGACCCTGTCTGTAGTGTTGTGAACAAGAAAAGTCCCCATAGGCGCATGTATTTAAACACTTGCCCCCAGCTGGTGGCACTGTCCACAAAGGTTACGGAACCTCTAGGGATGCAGCCTTGCTGGAAGAAGCACGTCACTGGGGCAGTTTGAGGTTTACAGCCCCACTTCCTGCCCACCCTCTCTGCTTCCTGTGTGAAGACACATTGTGATCATCTGACTTCCTGTTCTGGCTGGCATGGCCTACCCTCCCTGTCTTTAGGGACCCTGGCCATCTCGAACCATAAGCCAAAATGAACTCTTCTGAGTAATTTGGTGACACTAGCCTGTCACTGCTCCCCCCTTCCGTCCCATTCATGCCCCACTTCACTGCAGCTTCTCGCCAGCTGACTCGCCCTTCTCTGGTCTTTCTCCAAATCCCCCCAATGCTTATAACTCCTTGCTGTTTCAAAAACATACACTCCATCTTGTTCCTTAAACAGTGCTCAGGTGTGACCCCCTTGGGCAGGCTTTTTGGATCCACTCTATCAACCCCTCAAACAGGTGTCGGCCCTGGCCTCCCTTCCGCACCCCTCAACAGACTGACACCCAGGATACCCAATATCCATTTGTCTCTCTTACTTCTGGTGTCCCTGTGCCCGTAACAGCTTTGCAAAGTTGTGGAGCACTTGGGTCTTTCGTGGCCATCCACAAGAAGCTGCCTTGCCAATTTAAAAACAGCCTTCAAACAAGGGCGACATGTCACTAGGATGTAGAAGCATGTGTGCCCGCAATCAACTTCTGTGGACAGTGCCGACCACCCAAACTGAGGGCCTAGAGACAATGGCAGCTGACTTGGTGGAGTGGAGATGGAGAGGCCCGGTGTGCATGTGTGGAGCTGAAAACACTGCTGTTAACAGACAGAAGCTTAGTCTGAGGAGCTTGTCCAGGAGGCAAGTGAGAAGGAAGGAAATGCACACAGAATGCAACAGGCTGCCTCAAACCTTCTATAAAACAGTCTGAGGTGGGGGGTGGTGGTGGAAGAGATGGTCTTCTACAAGTTTCTGGGTCCCCGTGACACCTGTAGCAGATAAGGACCAGAAGGTTACGTCTGTGTTTCTCAACAGACAGAATGCTTATTCCTCAGTCACCATGAATCTTTAGCATGGAGAGAGGCTTGGCACGGGGCGGGGCGGGGGGCGCACACAAACAAGGCCCCTGGTTTCAGCTCCTCAGGCCCTGAGATGTAGCTCCACGTGAGTGCATTTCCACAAGAAGGTGGCAGCAGACTGAACGTCACTGATCAGAACGCTGATGGACAGACACGCAGTGTCTCAAAGTACTTGAAGTATGTGACCAACTTGCTTCTCCTACAAAGTAGGTGGTAAAAATGGCAGATTAAACCAGTCAGGAAAGCTCCATGTCACGTCTGTTCCTCATGCCTCATGACTGGGCCTTGCGGGGCACACATACACTATACAGAGAAAAGAGGCCGGTGAAGGCAAGGTACCTGCTCGGGGCTGCTGTGGCCCAGGCACCCCTGGGCCTGCTGAAAAGCTCCCACAGGCCTTCAGAGCATGCATCCCTCAGGCTGGGGATAAACTGCAGACGCTTAATTCACAGTGACTAAAGCCTGCTCCACTAGGAGTCTCAAGGTTATCTCGGGATTCCAGAGGAAAGGCAGAGAGCTATGAAGAGTCCCTGCCCAGCCAACAGCAGCAGACACTTCCCACCCACCAAAGGATCTGCCCTGGAGGGAGAGGCAAGAGAGGCATCCAGCTACACCCTGGCCTGCGCTCCAAGCTACAGCCTACACACAGCCCCGATGGAGATTGCCTTTCCTACCGGCTTCTCTCCTGCTTTGGGGATGGCTTCCTCTGAGGCCTTTGCTTAGCCCTGTCTGCCAGAGCACCATGGAACCAGAGCTAAGGATGCTGTTTACCCAAAGCGAGCATCCTGCTGCAGCAGCTGGTGGGTCCACAGGGAAGACCTGACGCAGAATCTTTTAATTAGAACAAATTATGCTAAAATTACTCTCAAACCCTGTCTGATAGATTACATACAACAGTGGGAATTCCCTTAAATACCGGTGAACAGGCCACAGGCAGGATGCCACAGGCAAAGCAAGCCAAAGCGTGTGTGGGGCATACCGCATGATTCATGTTGTCACGACACCTCAAAGACAGCTTCCAGGACGCACATCTGTCCCCCAAGAAGCAGACCACACTTCCCAAAAACTAAAAGTGGAAATCCAGAGGTGAGAGATGAAAGGGGAGATGCCCCGGAAGTGAGGAGCCTCACCAGGAATCCTGGAAGACGGACAGGCAGGAGGAGAATGAACTGACTGAACATAAAATATGCATTAACAGTGCGACGTGGGTTAGCCAGGTGGAGCAGTGTGACTGCGCACCGGACATCTGACATCCCTTTCCAGCCTCACCATATCATAAGACCATAGCAAGGCACATGTCCCAACCACGGCCTCCATTTCTAAACCTGACCAGAGAGGAACAGATGAGGGTATGGGAAGTGGTGAGACAGCCTCTACCAAGCACAAAGCTCGCAGATGATGGCCTAGATGTGGACACCACTGTCACGGCAGCACCGTGGCACCATGCTCCAAGAGGAACACAGACGGCCCGGGCATCACGCCAGCCCCTGGCTTCCACAGAGCACCTGGAGATGGCCGCGGTCCGTGGGGCTGTGCCCCCTCTTACCGCTGCTGATGGCCGAGTTTGCAATGACCGTAGCATCACTCCACTGGTCGGCACTGGAGACTGAGTAGGAGCGCTGGTGCATGCCGTCGGGTCGGCTGTTGAAGGAGACCAAGCTGATGCCGCTTGCCATCTGAGACCCAGACGCACTAGTGGCATTCCCTAGGAATAAACAAGTCAGGTGAACACCACGGCGGACTGCAGACCCCAGAAGCCAGCAGGACCTCCTCAACAGGGCTTCACGCTGGCACACATGCTCCTGACCCTTGAGTGACGCTGTCATTTCAAATGGAAGGAAGCATTACATGGAACATGATCATGAGGAACACAAGGCGGTGTAAACCCTGGTGGTGCTCCACTGAACGACACGAAGGCAGGCTGCAGACGGCTGCCCGAAAAACGGTCCCAAAGACGCGATTCTACCATAATCCAGAGAAAAGAGTCCCAGGGAGTCCTGGGAAAAGAGTCAGTACAGAGAAAAAGGGTGTGACAGGAGCCTGGCCGTATCACCTACCCATATGTGCTCACCAATGAGGAGCTGACTGCAAGGTGCCAGGAGAGAATGCTCACAGACAGCTAGCTAACTCTTATGATCGACACAAACCAATGCCCAGCTGCGCCTTGGAGAAACACTGACTTCTGACCTTGAAAATACTCCACAGAGGAAAATATCACCTCCGTGACTTCAGAACGCACACAAACTGTGAAGAAAGAGGATTCCATGGTAGACTTAATGGTTTGAATCAGTTGCTCAACATCAAAATGAATTATTGTCTGGTCACACCAATTTTAGACTCAAAATGCAATGAAGTGCTTTTCTCCAAGGCTCAGACAGTCCCGCTGCTTGGGAATGGGTCTGTCAGACTGACAACATCTTTGGAGGCGTTTCTCCAATTGTTAAACTTTCCTTCAATTGTTTTAGTTCAGAGCCACCTAAAGTTCTCAACTTTTGGTGGAAGGTTCCCCAGGGTAGGGTTGTAAGTCTGTGGCCCATTAGTAGCTCCAATTCTTAGATTTTTCTTGTGGAGTTTTATAAAAAACAGAGGTTTAGAAATCAGGCTTCTGATTTTGGTTACAGGCCGGGGAGGAGATTGGAGCTCCCATCCAACACGTAACCTCACTCACCATACCCAGTACCGCCAGGAAAGCTGTTTCCTGCCAGGTGGTAGGGAGTGAAGACTGAACTACCCACTTTTCTCATCGCTGTGCTAAAATGTACGAAGAAGGCAAAGAAGGGAGAGGAACCTGTCCTGGCTCACAGCTTGAGGGGACAGTCCTTACGCCAGGGAACAGCAGGTCACATGGTGACCAGGAAGCAGAGACCTATGAATGCTGGGGCATGGCTGGCTCCCTCGCCCCAGATTTATTGTGCCTAGGACTCCAGCTTATGGAGAGGTGCTACCCACATTTAGGGTGATTCTTTCCACCTTCATTAACCTGACCTAGAACTTTCCTCACACATATGCCCAGAGGTTTGTCTCCTAGGTGATCCTAAGACCTTTCAGGTTGACAACCAATGTTAACCCCATCACAAAGATGTCTCTACGTTAAGAAAACCACCCCAAACCTATTTTGTGCTACTGTTTGAATGTCATAAGGAAAAAGGGTGGGATTGCTCTGGGGTTCCAGACAAAAACCCACAACTGACAATGAAGGAAACGAACTAAGGAACACAGGCTTTCCTGCTCACAGTGGAGCCCAGAGCAGCAGGCCCGGGAGGGTGCAAAATGCAGAGCCCCATGCCACCCACTCCTTGAGTTCTAGACACCCAGGTCACATGAGTTTGAATGGATCTGCTAGAGCTCAAACTAATGAATACAGAAACTCCCAATGCAGAAACTACTGGGCAAAGCTCTTCATTCCCATAGGCCCGTGGGCCAGGTGCCTGGGTGGGAAAATGTGGACTGTGGGATGAGGTCTGGCTTCCTGGTTGGGGTGCAGGGTCTCAACCCCCACAGCTCTATGAACAGGATGCCTGGGCCTTGCCCCACTCCTCCCCACGGTCAGGGAGAGGCCAGCGCTCCCAAGGAGGCATGACAGGCAGCTGCCGGAGTTCTTTACAGGCCTCTACTGAGGACACCCTGGAGTGGCCTCCTGGTATTGTGAGCCTTGGCGGGGATCCACCACAGAGGCAGTGTCCTCTGGATTGGGACAGGGGCTCCCTCCACAGGTCACACAGCTGGGGTTCTGGCTGCCTGTGCTGGCTATTTTCCTGCTGGGCTCTTCTGGAGTACCCTCATAGGCCATGTCCACCCACTCCAGCTCTTTCTGGCTTCTTCTTGAAAGGCCCCGAGGAGGAAGGGCAGTGAGACAGGGTGTCAGTTCCAAGTTTCCCTTCTGGGCCCCACCTCAGGCTGGCTCCCCTTCCCAGCAGCACTGGTGCCTACCCCCCACCCCGGGAGTTCTCTTCTCCACCCATCTGAGTTGAACTAGGGAAAAAGGACACCCCCCCTCAACAGCAGCATTGATCCCCTGGCTCATCCTCACATCTACCCCATTAAGTCCCAGTAGACAAAAGCTTCAGGGTCTGGTAACCCTGAGGGAAAAGAACAGTGGGAGCTGGGCGAGGTGGAACATGACCATAACTGCAGGAGGAGAGGCAGATGGAAGGACAATGGGTGCATGGTCATCCTGGACTACCAAGAGCTCCAGGACGCCATGGGCTATGAGACCCCATCTCAGCAAACAAAGAATAAATTCGTCAGGGGATGAGCAGTGAGATTCCTCTTTGGTCAGCCAGGCCACTGGAGCCTGTCCGGCTTCTGGAGACTCCTTCCATTTAGTAACATTCAGGATGATTCTGTCCCCACACTTTTTATACCAGCTTTAGGCACACAAGGCCAAACACACAAAAAACCAAAAATGAGCTCACTGTCCACCTTCCAGGCCATGGTGACAGTAAGGTACTCAACAGCCCAGCTGCCCTTGTCCATCCTCTCAGAGGATGCTGTGATGATCAGTTTTAACTTGATACAATCTAGAAGCACTTGAGAAGACAGTCTTGGTGAGGGATGGTCTAGACTGGGTTGGCCTATGGGAATGTCTGTGGGCCACTCTGGGTGGCATCGTTTCCTGGCTTTGGGTTCCTGGCCTGTATATGGTGAGCTGAGCAGGAGGCATGCTTGCACTGAGCCTTCTCTGAGCTTGACTGTGAGTGTAATGTGACCAGCTGTTTTAAGCTCCCGAACGCCTTGACTTCCTGGTTATGATCGACTGTAACCCAGACTCGTGAGCTTTCTCCCCTAAGATGCTGTCGGAGCATTTGATTAACACTGCAACATGACATCATCCACAAAGCTCACACTTGAGAATGGGGCAAACAAGTGAAAATCCACTGCAGAAAATCGAAGAAGAAAAAAGGGCCTTAACGTTCTAGTAAGTTTAAGATTTTGCCTTGGGCTGAATTCACAGCTGCCCTCAGCCCCACGTGACCCAGAGGCTGCTAGAAGGTGAATACTCTCAACTTGCCTTTTGAAAGGCCAAGGAAAGGATTCCCAAGTGTCTGACTATGGTTTCAAACAGGCTCTGGAGAGAAGCTTCAGTGTGTGCCGAGGACAGAGTGGACCTGAATCCAAGACAGAAGAGCACAAAACATTCGGATGAGCCGTCCAGAGAACTGGCTTAGGTCACAGGGCTTTTGTCTGATGGATGGATGTCACACTGTGGCAAAACTAAGGCAGAGGTTCTTAGGGTACTATTCTCTGGCTTGCAAACTTCCTGTTGCTTGTGAAATGAAGTTTAAGCACAAGCTGGATGCATTAAGATGTTGGTGTGGCGGCTCTGGGGTTTGGCTCTGAGCCTGCCTTCTGATGGGGAGGAAGGTCCTGGGGTGTTAAATGGGACCCAAGTGGCCAAGGACCCCCAGTGAGACTGCATGTTTCTGGTCTCCAGAGGGAAGAGTTCCAGGTTCGAATGCTCCTTCCGAAAAGCAGATTCTTGGGATCCCATAGCATATGATGGTCTCCCTATTCGGTCACCCTAAATCCTAATGGTGGGACTAAATGGGAACGTGAATGTCTTTGGTTCTAAGCAAAGGGTGTGTATGGACCCACAGTTATAGAAGCACAGTTTTAGCTGGGTACATGTACTTGTGGCCTAGAGTAGTCCCCAGGTGAGCTCACAGATACATTTTGCTTAGGTATGATAATTTTCTTTTCCCACAAGTAAAATTCAATATAATTCTACTTATAATTCTCCCAATATGGAGACTTTGTCTAAACATTCCATGGTTTGCCAGGCGTGGTGGTGCACACCTTTAATCCTAGTACCCGGAAGGCAGAGGCAGGTGTATCTCTGTGAGATTGAGGCCAGTCTGATCTACATAGTTCCAAGTCAGCTGCAGCTACAGGGAGACCAGCTCAAAAAAAAAGTCAAACCGAAACAAAACAAAAATGTGAAATCCATGGTTTGGGCCAGTGAGATGACTCAGCAGGTAAAGGTGCTTGCCGCCAAACCTGACACGTTGAGTTGTCACACGTGGTAGAAGGAGAGAAGAGGCATTTGCAGCTTGTCAGATCTCTACACACGCACCATAGCACCTCCCACCCTCACCCTGATAAATGAATAACTTTTAAATTCCATGGTTCCTGATACCACTTGGCGTATGAGAATGTCTGACAGCTGTGGTCCTGGTCTGTACTGAGTCACAATAAGCTGGGGTGATGCGAACTGGCCCGGTGACACCTGGGTACACAAGTCTGTCTTGTCACCTTCTCAACAGCTAAAAGACCTTCCAAACACAGGCAGAGGGAAAGTCTCACTGCAGGAAGAAAACATTTCTGGGTTTCTCTCACAGGAATACATCTTTTATATATAGTAATTTACTTCACTTTAACATCCATTGTAATTTTTACTAATTGTCACACAGGAAACAAAAATGTCTCCTGTGTTGGGGTGACAGGTTGTGGTGCTATCACCCCAGCAGAGGCAGGAGGGTCACTGCAGGTTGGAGCCCAGCCTGGTCTACGCACTGAGCTCTAGGCTAAATAGCTAGATCCTGCCTCAAAACAACATTAAAAACAAACCATGTCCTCATGGGGCTGGAGAGATGGTGCAGCGGTTAAGAGCACTGACTGCTCTTGCAGAGGACCCAGGTTTGATTCCCAGCACCCACATAGAGGCTATGAACTGTGCTTAACTCCAGTTCCAGGGGAATCCGAAGC